CTAAGATTTGTAAAATTAATTAGGCAGCAGTTATGTTGACGTGAAGTTTATATTAATTATTTTTATTTGAAGCCTATATTAATTATTTTTAAAGACGCTAATTAGTATTTTGGATTCAAAGTTCGTTTACATCGTACTTACGTGCTAGGGTTGTACTAAATTACCTACCTACTCGCTAAATCTAAACGTGGCTCTTTAAATGGTCTGCCTATATTTAAGTGCCAATTTAAGTTTGGTGTATACGCAGCGTCTCCAAATTATTTAGCGGAACTGGACTTATATATGAAGAACACCGGAACAGACTGTTAGGTGTAAAAGTGGCCAAACTACTTTCCATAAAATATAACTTACCGCTACTTAATTTTGAATGTTAATAAAAAGTTTTATTTGTATTTTTTTAATAAGTAGTAGGTATTTCCGTTTCCGCATCCGTTTTTGTTTCCGTGTCTGCAAAAAATATTTTTAACATCTGTTTCCGTTTCTGCTTCCGATATGACACTTCCGTTGCATCACTAATAATATTAAATACTGTGCTCTAAAATAAACTTATTCTGCAGTGAAAGTGCCTAAGACTCCACATTAGTGTTTTTCAATATCGAAATTAACTGTGAACCGTTTAAAAACAGTATCTAAAACTAAAAATTCTTTTCGGCGAATAATTGAATATTTTCTACCCACGAATACAAAAGTCATATTGACGTCATATTAAAATCTGTTGACACCGTAGACAGAGAAACCTATAGACAAATTGACGCCTTCTTTCGCATTCGCACACGAAAAAGATAGATTTATGCACACGTCTTGCATAGAAATGAGACAGAGCGGTGTGATTTTTTTTTTTTAATTTATTTTCTTCCAATTATACAATAAACGTTTTTAACATTTTTATCTGCCAAACTGCATTACAGTTTGTCGGCAGTAGTTCTCGTCTTACATGCTTATGTTTATACATATAATCTGAAGTATAATTTCTTATACATATACTAATATCTCCCAAAATCTATTTTATTATTTTATCTATACATATTTAGTACAAAGTTTGTTATGAGGTCCACATCAGCCAAATATCAAAATTGGTTCATTATTTTTTTTTTATATAAATACTGTATATACACATACATATACACTAATTCAACACATACTAAAACAGCACACATCGCATATAGACTGCTAATTTTAACAGTACGTTACTCGTGGCCTGTGGCGTACCTTTATGGACACAATGATAGATAATGTTTTCTTAGGATATTTTTTAAATGATTTTTTGAGATAACTTTACTAAGCAAGTCCGGCGGCAGCTCGTTATATAATTGCGGGATAACCCATCATCTCGTGCGCATACCGAAGTAATTTTTAATTTTAGGTACTACATATTTTCCTTTTCTAGTGGATTGACGAGTAGGGTAGCCATATTCTCTTTCTACTTTAAACTCATTTTTATTATACTGTTCCATTATCAACTTTATTTTCACTTTTTTGTCTACAGGTACAATTTTACAAATTTTGAAAAGTTTATTATATTCTTTATTACACTCACTTTTCACTTTATTATCTACTAGTATCTTTAACATCCTTGTTTGTAGTTCTTTGATTTTATTTAAATACACTGGGAACGTAAGTCCATAGCTACCCAACCCGTAATCTATAGTTGTATCCGCAAGCGCATAGTACAGCATATGTAACATACTTCTGCTTAGCCTAAATTTCAGGTGGTACAATTTACCCAATACACTACGTAATTTGTTACAGATTTGCTGAACATGTATACTCCATACAAAACTGGTATCTATAGTTAGTCCTAGGTATTTGTAGCATGAGACTTGTTCTAACTTCAGACATTTACAGTTATTTACATTGTTATTTCTGTGGAAACAATCGTAGGTATGCCCTTTAATTACAATGTCGGCATGCTTTTGTCGATTGTATGGCGAAGATATTAACATAAATTTAGTTTTGCTTATATTAATTATAATACCATTATCATGCGCCCATTTAACAATGTTGTCTAAGTCTTTTTGCATAACAATTTGTATCGTCTTTGGATCTTTGTACGAGTACATTAGGCAAGTGTCATCAGCATACATATACATTTCACATGATCGTACTACTTTGCTCATTCCATTTACATGAATGATGTACCCTACTGGACCGAATACTGAGCCGGTTGGGACTCCATATTTGATTTTACCAAGGTCACTACTAGTTTCGCTAATGCGGACTTCTAACGTTCTGTCCTTTAAATAGTTGCGGAACCATAAGTTTGTAGGTCCTCGAATACCGCACTCTTCCATAGACTGCAGCAAGCCATCGTGGTCCAGTGTGTCAAAAGCTTTTTTAAAATCGATAAAAATAACACCTACTAGGTTTTGGTCATTAAGAGCGTTATTCACGTCGTCTGTAAATTTAGCTAAAGCCATGTCTGTGCTTCTTTTTTGGCCTAAATCCATATTGTAAATCTGTAATAACATCATTATTTTCTAAGAATTCTGAAATTTGTTTGACAACAATTTTTTCGGTAATTTTATTGATTACATTAAGTATGGCGATGGGTCTATAGTTTGTGTATTCTTGATGCGATCCCTGCTTATAGACAGGTCTGATTATTGCTTTTTTTAGTTCTTCTGGGTAAACACTTTTTTTAATACACATATTAATAAAATTCGCTATAATAGGACTAATGACTTTTTTAATAAATTTTAAATCCTGAACTCTAATTCGATCTGACCCCGATGACTTGTTGCAGCTTAGTTTGTCTATAACTTTTATCACATCATCAGCTGATACCATTTTATATCGGAAGCTCACGTTACACTCGTCTATGTATTCTTTTCTTTTTAAAAAGGTTTGGTTACACTTGTGTTTAATATTATCAATTTCGTCAGTAAACGTTTCGCAAAACTTATTACAGATTGTTTTCATAGATTTTTCATTTTTTATGTATCTTTCAATAATGGTATCAACTGATGTTTTATTTTTCCCGAGCCACTGGTTTATTTTTCCCCAAATTTTGCGCATATCCCCATTACAATTAATTATTTCTTTCTTTTTATAATCGTTTTTGGCTTTATTTATTAACTTTTGTACTTTATTTCTGTATCTAGTATACTCTAATCTAGAATTATTATTACTAGGGTTTGATTTCCACTTTCTGAACAAACTATCTTTAATTTCAATCATATTTAATAACGACTTACTAACCCAGGGTTGATTTTCCCTTTTTTTCAACTGTATTTTTATTTGCGCTGAGTCATATATATTACAAAAAATTGTTTTGATTCTACTATATAAACTGATAGGGTCATCATAATTTAAAAGCTCTTTCCAATATTGTTCACTTAATTTCTTCTCAATCGCTTTGTTATTCAAACTTGTTTTGCATACATTTTGCGGCATACGCTTACCTATAACAGCGGTGAGTCCCGTTAGGTAATGATCAGCTAATGGACTCGTAAGTAAATACGCTTGCACCTCTGACGCGCTCTCAGTTCTAACGAACACATGATCGATGCAAGTGGCTGTCCGTCGCTCCGCACTCACTGCCTCGCGGGTTATGTCTTGAATTCCACACTGTAATCCTCGTGATGATAACATATTAAGATAACTACAAGCGATATGGTCCAATTTATCTTCCAAAATATCAATATTGTAATCACCGAACATGATTATATCCCGACTAATCGGCACTCGTTGAATTACTCGTTCCAGTTCTTTTACAAACAGTTGTTTGTTTGTGTGAGGCGGTCTGTATATCACTATAATATCAAGATCGTAGTTTCGTACTTTCAGAATGCCGTGTATCATTTCACAATGGCTACTACTTGTACTATGTATTTGAAAAGAAAGATTTTCTTTGATATAAATCACTATACCACCTCCTCTTTTATTTTCTCTAGTCCTTGAGTATAAGTTATATCCTTCTATGTTGTATAAATTTAACTCGTCGTTTTTTACATTAACTTCTGTTAGACAAATAACGTCTATGCTGGCTATGCAATTTTTTATGAGTGCTATTAATTGGTTAAAACGTTTCCTCAGTGAACATATGTTTATATGTATTATATGTAGTGCATTTTTATCTTTATTTATATGTTTTTGCCAGTCATTAATTTGTGTGTATTTCGTATATTCTATATCTTGGTACTGTGGATGCGGATCAAAGTTAGAAGACATCAATATGTATATTATTTATTATATATATATATATATATATATATATATATATATATATATATATATATATATCGTATCTACTCTCATTACTACTCTTGTTTCTTATTATCTAAAAAGGCCTCAATGTCACTCTGAGTGCGTATTTGATGGATTTTTTTTTACTGTATCATTCTTTCTAATTAATATTCTGGCATTCTGTATCCAAATATATTTATACAAATCTTTTAATTCAGTCTTAACTTCCCAGAATAGACGTCGAAGATGCTGCGTTATATTTTCATTAATATAGATTCTCGTATTGTTATTGTTTTTAAATATTGCGCTATTAGTGATGGCATTTTTTCGGCACCCTATCCACTGGATTCGGTCTTCACGTGTTTGAAGTGTGACAATTATTGGCCTCGAGTCCTTCCCATCCTTTATCTTTCCCACTCTCCAAGCCTTGGTAATTTTTTCTGGACATAAATTCAATTCATCTGCAACCGCTCTGGCTATCTGTATGGTACTCATTCCTTCTGGTGCCTGGACATTTAACAGTTCTATGTTGCAGTCCAGCCCCTTCTGTTCCAACATGCAGACACGTTCCTCTAAAGCCTTATTATATTTTTCCAGGTAAACATTTTTTTGGGATAGATCTTTTATTTTATTTTCCTGTATTTTGATGACGTTGTTCGCCTCCTCGATGGCGTTCTCCAGTTTTGAACATTTTTTGCCGAGATAATCCAATGAGTCGTCAACGACTTCATTAGTTTTCTGCAACTGGCATATTGTAATTTTTATATCTGACATATCTTTTTCAAAATTCCCAAAACGTGTTTCCTGTTGGTCTTTCATTTCTTTAAGCTTTCAGTATGCATCATGATCTTCATTTCCTCACGTAATGAATCCATCGTTTCTTTTAGTGAGCTTAGCATGTTCTCCGTGCAACAGGCCGGTTTTTGTACCGCGGATATCTGTCCGGTGGATAATTCGTCCTCCGATTCATATACACGTTTCTTTCTAGGGTTAACCCATTCAGATAAAATTACATGTCTATCTTTCATTTTACTTACATTAGTATCAGAACCGTACATTATGATCTTTTCCTCTTCCGTCGGCATTAATGTTCGCTCCATTTAGGCCTAAATAGATGTTTTCGCTGGCTCTAAGCAAAAATAATGATTAATCTGGTGGGCGGAGTCAACCCCCGCACGCGCGTAGGTGGGGATTAGCTGCGCTTGCACTTATGTCGTAGCTCCTGTTATACTATTGTCTCTTCCTTATGATCCGTATTACACTTATTCTGTCCTTTTTTAACCGTTAACAAATGCCATACACACTTTACCAACAAGAAGAAACGTCCGAACGCTTTCGCGCAACCACGAGAACTGTTTTTCCATTTGTTTTTGAATTGTTTGTCCATTTCTCCGTTCCGGTTTTTTTTTTGTTTAGCAAACTACACTTTGCTAAACAACTTTGACAGTTCGTAGCGATTAAGTGAGAAAAAAGTGTTTTGTGAGCTTAAGATTGGTGAATCTTAGAACAATTAAAATTTTTATCTAAATATGTTTAAAAGTCATAAAAATTATAGTATAATGCCCCTATTACACTACCCTGAATCAGGTCCCTGGATGAAAGGTGGGCGTGTCCCCTAATTAGGGACCTGAGTTATGACACTACTCTGATTTTACGCCCTTTCTCGGTAATAGGGATGTGAAAAAAGTATATATATTTATTGAATCGATATTTTTAAACACTATCAATATTATTGCGTGATTAATATCGATATATCGTCATGTTTTGCATGATGTAGTGGGATAAGGGCCAAAATTTTATTACTGGACGTTTTGAAGACAAAAAAAAATATGACTATTAATAGTAAAGAACTCTTTTCTTTACTATTGTCGTGTTTAGAAGAAAGCTATGGGTGAAGGACTATTTAAAACTTAGGTAAAATCACTCAAATATGTGGATTATCGGAGTTCTGGGGCCCAATGAATTTCGAATACCTGAGAATAGGGGAAGAGGAGTTCGAGGAGCTATTAAGTTTAGCTCCTTATATCGAAAAACAAAATATGGTTTAAAGAAAGAGTGTAAGTGTAGGCAAAGATTATTTGTGACTTTAAGATGTCTAGTGATTTAAGTGCGTGTATTTCTGTGCGCGCTTTGTGTTACAAAGAGAATTAGCTACTACCATAATAATTTGTTATTTAGAATTTTACGACAGCTAAGTTATTTAAGAATATTTGAACTATTAAATAGCTTATTTACCTACATCTTAAAACTAGACTGATGTTGTTTTGTGAAGACTGATATAAAGCTAATTTTGTTTTTAAACATAGGTACTTACTAATATTGATTAAAACCAAAAATACACAAGTATATAATACATACTAAATATACCTTTTTACTATCTACTAAGTTTAGTAATGATAGTTGACCCAACCCACCAAAGAGTTAGATAGAAAAACAAATTCACAAATCATTTACTCTGTTTCGTCCTGCTAACTCGAGTTTAGTTCGAGTTGCATGAATTTCAACTCAAGTGACCTCCAGTCGTAATTTTTCCGAGTAAGCACATCTATAGGATGCAACATCGCTCATTAAAACACGGAAGCTTATGTTCGATATATTAAATATATATATACAGTGTGTAAGTGTAAACACCGTTGTCACTGAAACCATAGGTAGTTGGCTTTAATATAAAAATATCTATCCGATTTTTTTAAAAAAAAACACTATTTTCTTTCATAAAATTAAAAAAGTTTCTGTCCGACACTGTCCGTAAATTCATGGGTACCCTATGCGCTCGAGTGACGTAATCAATGTAAATACCACCGCCCGCCCTTGCTACCTACACAACATTTACACCTACCTATGATGTAACTTTTCCTTCATACTTTCACACTGACTTAGGACAGATAAAAGTTCCTACCCTTTGTGTTGCGTGACGAGTCCAAATTAATTAGATTTAACAACAAAGAAAATTAAACATTAATAATAGTAAAATTATAACTTAAAAGTTAATCATAATGTTATGCACACACGGCTACTCATTTAGTTATGCAAAAGCTATGGGTAGCTCGCCGTCCAATCAAGGAACCGGGGCCCCGGGACTCTCTTAGCAGAATAACGCGGCCTGGAACGCAAAGGGCATTTGAAGCATAAGCTGACCGTTCATTGTACGGAAAGATCATACAAAGCGAGGACAAGACAAACTGGTTTTGTATAGCTTGATGTGTAGCCTGATTGATTGATTATTTACACTTACCTATTAAATAAAATCCTCGTAAATGAATCCTATTTTGATCAGCTTTTACATTAATCGTAAAAGCTAGAAGCACAACAGTGTAATTTCTTCAAGAGTTCGGACGTATTACGGAACTTAGTTGCATACACTCGGCGCTTCACTTCTCCCCAAAGATAAAAGTCCAGCGGGGTAAGGTCGTGCGAACGCGCTGGCCACGCCACTGGCCCTCAACGTCCCATCTATCGCCCAGGAAACTCCTCAACCAGCATAGCCCTGATTTACAACTGAAAATGTCGCCGCAGGGGCACCGTCACGTTGGTAGTAGAGGTTTCTCGGTGAACGAAGAGGCACATTTCCACTGCACGTTTTGTGTAGGACATAATTACAAACTAAAACACACTTGCACAAAAGCTACAACTAGGTACCTAAAACACAAATAAACGACGTAGAATGTCGGCACAGCGCGCGGTGCGGTTGTAAATCAAATTTACACGTGCATTCGCTACCGACGCAGCGACAGACTGACACACTGACACAATGACATTGGCCTTGACCGCGAATCGCTGCCGCTACGATATGTTGAGTTTTTTGTTGTGATTTCTGTATATCCGTACTTGCCTATGGTGAAATAATTGTAAGGAAAAATTGAGATTTGACTTAAAAATTTTTTTATTATTTTTCATTAAATTTACGTTCTATAAGTGAAACCAAACCACTGGTTTCAAGGATAACGGTGTTTACACTAACAACCTGTATATATATATATATATATATATATATATATATATATATATATATATATATATATATATAGAATGAATGATGGTTTTGAACAGAAGTGAAAAAAGAAGTATAATAATCAAATATTATATTTATGTTAGTTTAGGAAGATTTACACTATTTACTTTTATACATTTATTTTTATAGAATTATTATCAGAAAACAAGAATTTTTTATAATGATTTCTTATATTTACGTGAACACTACACATTGAAATAATACTAGTTTTTACGGAATTTATCGCGTATATTTAACTTTTTAAATACCCAACGTTTCGAACGCTTTACAGCACTCATGGTCACGGGCGGGACTGAGATGTTCAATGTCCAGATGTCATAATTAACCGCGGTTACCATAGATTAAAATTTAACTTTTGTTCCGATCTACAATGTAGATTTCTACAATGTGGATCGGGACTGAAGTTAAATTTTTTTACTTTTATTTCTTTCGAATTGAAATTTAAAATAACAATTTTAACAATCTGGTGCCTAGTGAGCGGTTTCTCCTTGGTGATTGTAGATCCAGCCTCTGAAAATAACCGCTCACTGGATACCGAAGTTGCCACGATAGGCAAATAGATCTTAGCTAGGCTATGAAGCCCGGGAAATAACCCTTTCTTGCCATCCCACATCTCCAACGCATGTAATATATGAAACTCTTCTTCTGCTTTAGTTTTATTTCTTATGTTTTGGTGCGTTACTTCTTTATGGTAGTTCCATATGTCAATCAGTATTATCGCACTTTCTGAATACATCTACTAAATTATAGCGAAATACTAGCAGTTGAATAACCGTTCATCCATAAAAATCAATGTTACAGAAAAGTGATTGTAACGAAATACGAAGTACCGTAAGCCGATAAAATAATTTCCAATACAAAATAACTAGTACTTTAAAAAACTGTACTTAAGCTATTGATTAAGTTAAAGCTCAAACAATATAATTATTAATAAAAATAATAAAACCATTCCAATCCATTTTCAATATTAATTATAAACTTATGTTAATTCATTACCACAATAAAAATAAACCACAATTTTACATCAAAAATAAAATAACCGATTGAAGATAATTGCACTCCTGAAGTTCAAGTATATTTGAGTCGAGAGTACAATTTATTTTCGACTGAAAGACCATTCGCATGTTTGTTGATTCGTAATTAAAATTTCTGCTAAATAAACCTTCTAACTTTAAAAATTTAGATATTATGTAACTTTGAGATATATTTTTTTGGTACATTTATTTTTCGGCGATATAAAATTCGTGATAATCATCGTTTGCAACTTTTAACATACGGAATTTTATACCTTCAAATAGTTGGTTATTTCGAAACCTTTGACAGCAAGCCAAAACATCGTTCATAAAACATCGCTCATGAATAACCATATTTATGAACGACATATCGATGTTTGAAAGAATTGATGTATCGTTTTCATCCCTAGATACCCTAAGTGTTATTACACTACACGGTGGCAAGGGCACTGCAGATAGGGTGCACTTTGTCTCCCTAATTAGGGACTCTTACTGCCTTTCTCTTATTACACCACCCTGAATCAGGGTATAGGGAGCCTGATTCAGGGTAGTGTAATAGGGGTATAACCTAAAAGTACGTTATCGTCCTTTCTCACTCAAGGCCACGCTCATCATTTGTCTATAGGTTTCTCTGTCTACGGTTGACACTGTTTATATAATTGACATCCGCTGTCACTGACAACTTCAAATCACTTCATTCATAAATGTTGCTATAATATAAGAGTTGACATTCTACTAATAAAAATAAAATAATTCTACCAAACTACATCTTCGGAGTTCTCGTAAGTTTTTCATATATTTGTAACCAACAACGTAGAATTGAACTCGACAGCTGGCAGCCGACAGAACTAATAACCCACAGTGATTAAGATCGCCTCAACTGAAGTCTTCTGTGTCGCGCTCGTTATTATCATAACAGCTGTTGCTGCAAATAATAATCGCTATATAAGGCATTAGGGTATTAATTCCTAAAAAATATAATAAAATGTCACTCATGCAACGTACTCCACCACCTGTGTCCGAGAGTGGATTACTACAAGTACAATCCGAGCCCGATATGGTGAGTGCCATGCGTTACGAGGATGAAATTGAAACCTCCAACGTTTCTACACGCAAAACGCACCCACGTCTTGATAGATCACCATTAGACGAATATTCTAGGCTGAAAAAAGATATGCAACAGATGTTTAAGAACTGGGCAGCTGAACAAGACTTAAAATTTTCGAAATTGATTACCGAAATTTCCGATTTGAAACAGCAAAATAGCGGTACACAAGAGACTAATTTGGAGATACGCAAATTTATGGCATTTGCCTCCTCAGAATATGATGACATGAGAAAAAAGAAAGCGAAGTTAGAAAAAGGACGTTTCGAGTACACTGAAAATTTTATGAAAATGGAAAGAAAAATTCTACAGGTTAAATCCCGCACGGCATCAATAGAATTCAGAAATATCCCTGGTTGGGCGGCGGGCCTTAAGGTTGCCGAATCACCATTCCCCGGTCGAGCCTTAACCCCCCTTAAATTAGATGTTATACTAGATGGACTGTATACGCGGTTGGCTTCTTCTGCTTCAACAAAATGGCGGCTGTAGCATGCGGTTCCTTGACAATGCACTCGCTCTTCCAAAAAAACCTATTGCTTGCCAAGGTTATGAAGGAATCCTGCTTGAGCACATTAGGAGAAATGAAATTGGGGCAGATTAACCAATAAAACACAAATATTCAAGCAGGCGTCATAGGAAAGAAACACACTTACCGGGGTGTGACTTCGATGCAGCTTGGACGCTGTGGTGTTACTTCTGGTGAACCTCCTGGGGCCCCAGGGATGCGGTCCTGGTCGTTGGTGCGATGGAAGAGCGCGGTGTGCGACGATATCTCACTAGGTGAGACGGTCACTTCTGGAGCTCGACTGCTCCAGGTGGTGCGGTGGAAGAGGGCGGTGTGCGACGATATCTCACTAGGTGAGGCGGTTACTTCTGGAGCTCAACTGCCCCAGGTGGTGCGGTTTGAAACTAGCGGTGCGCGTGGGCAAGAAACCTCTAGGACGTGACTGTCCCAGGCCGTGTTCTTCCAACCAGCAGCGCAAAGGCAAAAGAGCACTCGAGCCCAGCGCGCGAACTTATATCGGCTTCCTTCCCACCGAAGTCGGGCGCTCTTCTCATTGGTTGCAAATCACGCGACATTCTAGAATTATTTTCTTTCCCCTCTCACCCCACCACCCCGGTGTGTCGGAGGGACGATAGGTGAAGGAAAGGAATGCTTGGCAAGCCTACCCTCGAATAAAATTAAAAATACGAATGGTTTTCCGCGCAACCACCACCCCCCGGCTTAAAGGGTCCCCTTCAAAAATAACTAAAACAACTAGCGCTAAGATTAAACCTAAATTTCGACTACAATTTCTAATCTAGAAAGCTAATTAAAATTATTGAAAGGGCAAAGGGCACAAACGGACAACAGGACGCATGTAAGACCCAGTCGTGGTCCTAACGCGAGCTACCCTAATTACCCCGTCGGAACCGGGAAAAACCTCTTCGACAATCCCTAATGGCCAATGGGAGGCAGCGTATTCTCCTTGGTGAACACAACCACAGTTCCGACAGTTAAAGGTTCAGTTGCTGTGTTCCATTTTGCCGAGACTGCAACGTATGCAAGTATTCCATCCTCCATCGTTTCCAAAACGATTGCACCAACCGATCTAATAATTTATGGCGTGCGGAAATGCTAAGTTTGTTCTCGTCCATATCTACGGCGGGCAAATAATTCAAAGGCGTTAAATTCAAAAAATGTGCTGGAGTTAGAGCCAGCGGCTCTGAGGGGTCACTTGACAACGTACGACAAAGTGGGCGACTATTCATGACGCACTCAATTTGAGCGAGCACAGTACTTAACTCTTCTAAGGACAAAATTTGATCTCCTATTACTCGGTATAAATGACTCTTTAGACTCTTAACATTAGTCTCCCAATCTCCCCCAAAATGACTCGCAGCTGGGACGTTCAGAGACCACTCGATGCGGTTCTCGGCTAGAATGTGAGCGAACACCGAATTATAATACTTGCTGGCTAAGAGCTCATGTAGTTCTGATAAAATACGTTTCGCGCCGACGTAGTTCGTACCGTTATCTGAATACATTTTACTTACAGGGCCACGGCGGAAAAGAAATCTTTTAAACTTACCCATAAAGCCCGCTGTGCTTAGATCGCCAACGAGTTCTATATGCACAGCCCGAGTAGTCAGACATACGAAAATGCAGACGTAAGCTTTTGGTTGTGTAAGTGGATCATATACCACTCCCGCGAGTGAGTGTGACCTTAAACGGACCAGCAAAATCAGACCCGGTGTGCATAAAGGGCTTTACGGATTGTGTTACTCGACAAGACCTAAGGTCCGCCATTTCCGGAAATGACGGCTTAGGACGTATTCGAAAGCAAGCTATACATCTGTGCACCCGATTGCGGATTAAATTACGTGCTGCAAGAATCCAATAATTCTGAAGCAAGATTGACATCAGCAAATCGGGGCCAGCGTGAGAATTCAATTTATGATGGTAATCATCTAATAAATTCATGATATGGTCTTTATGCGGTAAAACTATAAGGGTGCCGTTGGTCGAAACTCAACTGCGAGTTGGACAAGCGTCCACCTACCCTGACGATTCCATCTTATAAAAATGGCTTAAGGCGTTGAAAGGCGCGACTACAAGTCCTATTCGATTGTAATCTTGTAATTTCCTCGGAAAAATGTGCACGTTGAAGTTCACGCAATTCTAGCAACTCGGCGTAGTTGTAATCGGACGCTACGATATACGAACGTCGCGGTAAAAGCTTCGCGAATCGACAAACGTAAATCACGCTACGCAATAATTTCGACCAAGAGGACAAACGGTTCGCCAAAACAATGATTGGAGAAACCTTTCTCGAAACACTCGCTACCAGAGCGTGCCTCTTCTCTTCCGGCGGTTGTGACACTGACGAAGGGTCGAAATCGGTTATTGGCCATTGCGAGGGTTCCAAGTGAACCCAAGAAGGTCCGTGGAACCAAAGCGGATGGTCCATTATTTGCATCGGGGTGAGTCCACGGGATAGACAATCGGCAGGGTTTTCCGCACCGGACACGTGATAAAAGTTCCGTGTTCCTAACTCATCTTGGATCTTGGCCACTCAGTTCGCGACAAGCGTATCTTAACAGTGGGGTGAAGAATGAACCCAACATAAAGCGACGGTTGAGTCAGAAAAGGCAAATATCCTTTCTATGTGAACTCTGGCACTACATGCACTGATAACTGCGGTGATAAGCTTGGTAAGGACTAATATCGCGCAAAGCTCTAAGCGCGCGAGGGAGACAACCTTACGGGGGGAGACTCTTAACTTAGAGCTAATGAGGCTGATCGAATTTCTACCATTATTCTGGACGTGAAAATATACAACGCCCCCGTAAGCCTTCTCGCTAGCGTCTGCAAACCCAACGACCGTGATGACAATATTTCTATCGACGTTTATATGACGTGGTATTTTAATTTCGCTTAGTAATGGAAGTTCCTCTCTAAAACGCTGCCACATCCGAACAATGCTATCAGGCGGCGGGTCATCCCAATCGCATTCTCATAACCAAAGTTGTTTAATCAAAAGCTTAGCGTATAGTACCACCGGGGCTACGAAACCCATGACATCCCATAATCTAGCAACGCATGACAGCATTGTGCGCTTTGTGCACGTTTCTGCGGGCGGGTTTACCTTAAGGGTAAACACGTCGGACTCCGGTGACCAATACAAACCGAGCACCCTGTGCGTATCAGAATCGTCGAATTCCTTTACCACCGAAAGACGGTGTGATAATGAGATTGTATCTAAAACCGCACGCGAATTAAAGAAAGAAAGAAGAAAGAAATGCATTTTATTCAAGTTTATGCATGCAGCATAACAAGCAAAAAGTAGATATAAGCCAAAAGATAAATACAACTAAATTAAAAGTAACTTAACATTATTATAAATTTAAGAAAATATTTTAAAAATACCCTGTGCTGCAGCATGAAACTGTGAAACGGACCGGACTCAGTGATAGCACTGGTTTTCAGTCCAGCCCTTACCCAGAGGCAGCTCGGGCGGCTGAGTGCACGCTCGCTCTAGATGCCCGAAAATTCATAATAAACTATAAACCTATACATATGCATACCCATACCTATATATAATTGGACTGAAATTGGAATTTTTTTAAATTACTGGTAAGTCCATTCACCGTTAATTTAGTAATAAAATTACTACATTAAATAATTATCATAAGTTATATTACCTGGATTCTACATCTTAACCAACATCTTTTTGTTCATTGAGTAGAAGTAATTTATATTTGTTTTTAAAACTATTAATTGTTGTAAGGCTACGTAAGGGAGGTGGCAGATTGTTCCAACACTTTGTTGCATTGTATTTAAAACTAGCTCTGAATGCAGTTGAGCGGCTAAAAGGATATACTAATTTTTGTTCAATTGATCTGAGATAATGTTTATTATTGTGATCTTTGGCCCAATCAAGCTAATTGTACAGATATAATGGTTCTTTGTTTTTTACAATACCAAACAAAAGAGTGGCAAAGTGTAGACGTCTCCGGAGGTCCATTTTTAATATATTTGCTTTGTGTAAAAACGGTGTTACATGTGTACGTGGTGGTATGTTAAAGCAAAAACGCGCACAGGCGTTTTGAACCCGTTGTATAATTTGTTTGGTACGAGCTAGAAGTCGCGGTCCTATGAGAGAATCAGCATAGTTGAATTTTGATAGAACAAGGGACTCGCATAAATTTACACGCAGAGTCAGGTTTAGGTAATTTCGAATTCGATAAAGTATTTTTAGCCTAAAAAAGCAATTACGTACAATGTCAAAAATGTGCTTCTCGAATCGCAGCTGCTCGTCCATCACTACACCAAGATTTCTCGCTTCAGGGACTCTCTCTATTATATCCTTATTTATGTAAACAGCGGGACATTTCGATATAATCTTTCGAACCTGTGTTGGCGTTCCCAGTATCATGTATTTTGTTTTTTTTTTTTGGATTCAGAACTAGTGTGTTACGCTCAGACCACAGAGATATGCGATTCAGGTCGGCGTTAAGCTTTGCCAAAGCTATATCTGTGTCGCAGGGCTTAAAAGAAATATATACCTGTAAGTCGTCTGCATACATGTGAAACTTACAATGCTCTATATTATTTACAATATCCGCGCTGTAAAGTATAAAAAGCAGTGGTCCTAAGATAGAACCCTGCGGAACTCCCCGTTCAACCCGCCGATTATCCGAAGTGATTCTGGTGTTATCGTTTCTTGTTAATACGACTTGCTGGGAACGGTTCTTAAAATAGCTGCTAAACCACTTAATAGCATTTTTACTTAAACCATAGTATGATAACTTAGAAAGTAGTAAGGGAACATTAATGGTATCGAATGCCCGTGAGAAATCCAGCAAAGTCAAAATAGTGCCCTCTCCGTTGGATTGTGCTGTCAGTATGTCGTCTACGACCTGAATTAAGGCAGTTGTAGTGCTCCGCTGTTTTCTGAAACCCGATTGCAGCCTGGGGAGTATATTATTGGTCTCAAGATATTGAG